TTTTCAAGACTTACTTCACGCTACTTGCTTCCCCAGCCATTTCTTTGATAATGCCATAAATTGCATCAACTGGATTCACAGTCCTAAACAAAAACAAAACAACATATTGGTTTCGTAAAGAATAAACTATGAGCCTTTCCCCCTCCCAATAACTCCAGGCTGTCTGTAGTGAGGAGAAGTGTTTTACTTTGACTCCTTTATTTAATATAGAACCTTTTTAGAAGCAGTAGCACCCGATATCAACAGTCTCTGATACTTGGTCCTGATACTTGGGATCAAAGGGTTGTGTTGTTCCCTCTAAGAGACTTGCCCGCAGGGAATCATGGTAGTTGTATTTATCATCTTGGACTGGATATTTGTTTTGATGAATGCAACTGTCATGATTCCCTGCAGGCGTGTCTCATAGGGGGAATTGACCATTCTAGTGATCATGGTTTCCATACCATGAAGAGGTACGTGTAAATTAGTAGCAATGACCATACTGTCCTTACAATTATTAAGTTCTCTGCAACAACAGTCAGTAGTTATCAGTCCTAGTGCATACACAGTCCGAAGTTACTTAATACAAGACAACTTTACAGATTGTGTTCCCACCTAGTGGCACCCTCGTCATCAACTAGGGAAGCCTTTGACATCTCCATNTTCCCCAGCCATTTCTTTGATAATGCCATAAATTGCATCAACTGGATTCACAGTCCTAAACAAAAACAAAGCAACACATTGGTTTCGTAAAGAATAAATTATGAGCCTTTCCCCCTCCCAATAACTCCAGGTTGTCTGTAGTGAGGAGAAGTGTTGTTCTTTGACTCCTTTATTTAATTTTGAACCTTTTTAGAAGCAGTAGCACCCGATATCTGATACTTGGCCCTGATACTTGGGATCAAAGGGTTGTGTGGTTCCCTCTATGAGACATGCCAGCAAGGAATCATGGTAGCTGTATTCATCATCGTGAACTGGATATTTGTTTCAATGAATACAACTACCCTGATTACCTGCAGGCGTGTCTCTTAGGGGGAATCGATCATTCTAGTGATCATGGTTTCCATACCATGAAGAAGTACATGTAAATTAGTAGCAATGACCATACTGTCGTTACAATTATTAAGTTCACTGCAACAATAGTCAATAGTTATCAGTCCTAGTGCATACACAGTCCGAAGTTACTTAATACAAGACAACTTTACAGATTGTGTTCCCACCTAGTGGCACCCTCGTCATCAACTAGGGAAGCCTTTGACATTTCCATGAGTCTCATGGCTTCGTTCACATCTTCTTTCTCTACAACATCTGCCAAACGGAGACGAGCCTGTTCGAGCAAAACAGGAGATACAGTAAATACCATACAACAATTTTAAAGAGCTTGCGAGAGACATTTGTTCTCAGCATGCTATTCTCGTTTCAAAAGCCCCTTCCCTGAGACATGAATGATCGTGTGTCGAAATCTGAAGTTACTTACATTAAGTAATTATGACATTGTTACATCTTCGTACAGCATGTACTAACCTCCNGTTGGCTACATTGCACATGTAGGTATTGTTATCAGTTTTTTCATACCTCATAAGGTTCATATCCAAAGATGTGAACTGCATCGGAGGATGGGAGCTGTGCTGATGAACATAAGTGATGTGTTGTGCTAACCTGAAAATATACACAGTGAAAGAAAATGAACAACAAATTTTTAAATTTTGTGTCTTGTGCTCAGTCAAACACAATTAATTTTTCTGCCAGTCAGTAATCAGTGGGGGAGGGACAGGGGGGTGGGAACCTCCCACTTCCTGTACCCTTCTCTCCTAATTCCCATACCTTTATCTCCCACCCTTGTCAGCCTTGCTCTACTCCCCTGTAAATAAGGAGACTCAAAACACTTCCTTTGGTTTCAGTCTTGCTCATCTTACTCACGCTCATGTCTTTTGACAGCTTCACTAAAGTGACAGCATTTCATAACCTGTGACGTAACCACCGTAAAAGGGTTTCCAATTTTACCGGAAGTGAGTCTCTGTTTTTTAGCCCAAGGGGAAATTTTTGTTTGCTTGTCAACCCAGGATTCTCAAAATAAGCTAAATGCAAGTCAAACATTTATTTATAACATTTTGGGTTCTTGTTTTTGAAAGTATTTTAACGCGTAATATATGAAAAAAAATAACATTTTGTATTTCTCTCCTGATTCCCACCCTCTTAAAACTCCTGCTTCCCACCCTTTCCTCTCACGCCTCCTGCCCCCTACTCTCCCAGGCTCCTGCCCCCTGTCCCTCCCCACTAGTCAGGTATTTAAGGCTGCAGCTGTAAAAGCACCCTGTTCATATCACCCTCATATCTGCCACTTAGTATTAGTGTAACACAATATCTTGGGACATAATGTCTGTTTCGAAGCACTGGTGCATCGCTGCAACCCTTGTTATTTTCTTTTTTACTAGAAATTTACTGATGAAAAACATTTCTTGGCAAACGTTACCTTAAGGAAAAAAAACCTCCCCCTTCATATGTACATGCTACAGTTGATATCATGTTTATGGCACAGAGGCTTTGTTAAATAAAATGCAAGAGAAGTATAGTAATGGACAGGGCATTTTATCATAAAATACAAACATAAACAAATTATTCTCACCTTAGGTCATTGTCCCTGTCTGGTTTGTCCTGGATCAGCCAAAGTACATCAAATCTTGACAACAGTGCCGCTGGAAGCTGAATGTTTTGCTCTGCAGATTTCTTTGGGTTATAACGTCCATATGCAGGATTGGCAGCTGCCAAGATGGATACTCGAGCATTCAAGGTCGTCATGATTCCAGCCTTTAGAACAACAGCATGTGGTTATTACAAGTATAAACTTGAGCCAAGAGAATCTCAATACTCATAGAACTCATGCAGCAGACACAGCTGTGCTGGACTCGTCTTTTGAGCACTCCCCATGCCACTGGATTGTGGTTTTGCACAAGGCCTTTGAACTCTTACAGTGCCTCTCTCCACAAAGTAGTTTAATGTGCAATGGGTACTGCTGAACTGCTTGAAAAATGATGGGTCTTGGCAAATTTTCAGTGTCTCAAACTAGATTCTCGGAATCTCAATCTTGTAAAATTTAGAGTGGGTCTCAGAATCTCATATTTCAGATTTCTTGATCACGGTGTCTTGTGCTCAAATTTTGAATCACAGCATCTTGGGCTTAGATTTGAAATATCAGTCTCGGATTTTAAATTAGGGTCTTGGAGTATCAGCAAGTTGCGGACTTTACCATTTTTATACCCCTACCAGAAAAACTGAAAGAGGCTACCTGAGATGGATTAGTATCCCCTCCATGGAATCAAACAATACCCCTAGTCATATCATGTCACAGAAACCACAGTAAAGCACCTGGGCTAATGGGCAACATTTCTCTCCCATCCATTGGATTGGAAGACTTAAGACGAAATCTGATAGAAAATCNCATCAAATCTTGACAACAGTGCCGCTGGAAGCTGAATGTTTTGCTCTGCTGATTTCTTTGGGTTATAACGTCCATAAGCAGGATTGGCAGCTGCCAAGATGGAAACTCGAGCATTCAAGGTTGTCATGATTCCAGCCTTTAAGACAACAACAACAACATGTCGTTATCCAAGTATAAACTTGAGGCAAGAGAATCTCAATACTCATACAACTCACACAGCAGACACAGCTGTACTGGACTCATCTTTTGAGCACTCCCCATGCCACTGGAATGTGGTTTTGCACAAGGCCTTTGAACTCTTACAGTGCCTCTCTCCACACAGTAGTTTAATGTGCAATGGGTACTGCTGAACTGCTTGAAAAATGATGGGTCTTGGCAAATTCTCAGCATCTCAAACTAGTGTCTCAGAATCTCATATTTCAGATTTCTTGATCATGGTGTCTCGGGCTCAAATTTTGAATCACAGCATCTTGGGCTTAGATTTGAAATATCAGTCTCGGATTTTAAATTAGGGTCTTGGAGTCTCAGCGAGTTGCGGACTTTACCACTTTTATACCCCTACCATAAAAACTGAAAGAGGCTACCTGAGATGGATTAGTATCCCCTCCATGGAATCAAACAATACCCCTGGTCATTTCATGTCACAGAAACCACAGTAAAGAACCCGGGCTAATGGGCAACATTTCTCTCCTATCCATTGGATTGGAAGACTTAAGACGAAATCTGATAGAAAATCGAGCAATTTCATGAAATAAATTATCTTATCTTATCTTATTTCAGGTTTTAGTGGACAAAAATTTGGTACCAGAATAATTTTAAGTATTTTACAGTCATTTTCACATTTTCTCAAAGGTAAATACATAAATAATTGCCCGAAATAACACTGAGAACAATTTCCCATGGGAACGAGAGAAAATGAATTTCAAAGTTCAGAGAACTTGCGCAAACACAGGCAAAATTTCATCATCAGTTTCATTTCACCAGTCCTTTCAAGTGTTTCATACAAAGTTCAACATTTGTTTTCAATGTTTGGTGTTGCTAGAAGTGATTTTTTTTTAAGAAGATGTTTAAAATAGTCGTACAGAAGTTTGCAATACATTGTAAATAATCTTAGTACTAGGTTTTTGTCCACTCATGATGTCCACCTTTCCTTTAAGGCCTACACAAGAGTACCCTAGTTTAGTACAGATATCGACATTTTCAGTACACATACATGTAGTATTGGCTCCTAGCTTAACTCTTATCCAGACTTACTATTTTTCAATGTGTTTGTCAGTTGGACTTCCCGATGTGTATATGACAAAAAATCTCGACTTGCACTATGCAGGCATTTTGACAGATCCAGATATCTGGACTTCTTTATACAGTGTAGTCATTCTCACCTTAGCAATGGAGACTGTCTGTTGTTCCATAACTTCATGAATTGAGGTTCTGTCAGCATCCATCATCTTGTCAAACTCATCGATGCAGCAAACACCTTTGTCTGCTAACACCAGTGCTCCTCCCTCTGAAAGAATTATTAAAACAGTTAGATGAGGAAGGATCTTTGCCAAAGAATTACCTTATTCAATAATGGTATTCAGCAACAATATTTGGTTTTCTCTGTCATGGATTATTGTGTTACTGGGTTGTCCTGAATAAACTTACAATATTAGTAATAAATTAATGATAATTAATGAGAAAGATAATTACAGACTACATTGTGCAGTGACAAACTAATCAGGGAAAGATCCAGAGTTCTCCTGACATAGGTCAAATTCATGACCATTATAGAACACCAGTCGAACATTCCCTAGTGGGAGCTTGGCATATATAAGCCTGCTATTTGGGATGTAATGTAATGTACTGTAAAACAAGCAAAAAGTTGCACATACACATACCAAGAATCATTTCTCCTGTCAGAGGATCCTTCATAACCGCTGCCGTGAGACCAACACCTGAGCTACCACGGCCTGTGGTGTACTGACCTGAATCATCAGGATAACATCATTAATTAAAATCAATATTAACAAAATGATGTCCTTGACTACTAAATAACATCCTGATAAGACTGTATTCCTTCACATTTCTATTCTGCAAAATGGAGGTGCATCAAGTCTGATAACAGGCCTGTCCTGTCCAGGCTAGTTTTACTTGTAACTCTGGCTTTCTTTGCATGAAGCAGTTATTGTAGGTTATACAGTGGTTTCATTAAGGGCAGCTGTGAGGATGATTTTGCCCACCTGGTTTTACCATCTACATGTAAAAGAAAATTTTTCTTATGACCTACACTCGACGGACACACATATCAGCCTTTGTATTGATGGATACTCCACTGATAACCAACTGACACTCCACTGACACTCAACTGATACTCAACCGACACTCGACTGACTGTCGGCCAATGTGTAGCCAAGTACTTGCTGCATATTGACTGAGTGTCGGTTGATACATTGGCTGATAATGTCAACTGACACTGCCTACAGTAAACATGATTCAACTTCAAGCTAAGATTCAGTATGTAATCAATTAGACTTTGAATACTTACTTCGAGGTGCAAGCCTGTCAATGTAAGCAAGCATTTGACTCTTTGCTACACCAGGGTCACCCATCAACAATATATTGATATTTCCTATAGGAAAAATAATGAAGTTCTTAAAGAGGGTAGGAGTAAGAAGAAGTGATTCCCAAAACACAAATTAGAATGAACACATCTTGACAGACTTAAAGAAAATATTTGGTTTGAAGCCAGGCATGGTTATGTCATTCCTGGCTTAAAAACTATAATAGGACGTTTTGGTTGCTGCTGCAACCTCCTTTAGCTAAAAAAAGGAACCCAACATTTTTTTGCTAAGAAGGTTGGAGCAAGAACTGAAACATGTTATTATAGTTTTTAAGCCAGCAGCAATATATTTTTATCAATTTTTCAGAGTGTACATGCACAAGTGAGACCGATTTCTATTGTTACTCAGCACAGGGGTTTTGTATGATCAGCCTCAAAGTCACATTCAATTTCAAATCTTCAAGCTGTTTACAAAATGAAAGTTGCACATCACAAACATCACCTCTTATTTTCATTCCCTGAGGGGTGCAGTCCACTCCACCAACCAACAGCAACAGCAGCGCCTTCTTAATGTCTTCATGGCCATAAATCTCAGGTGCTAGAGATGATGCCAACTTGTCGTAAAAGTCCGCTTCTGCAATCAGAATATTTGATAATCAATTGGCATTGATGCCACATGTCATTACTGTATGTTTGAGTTCAGGCCTGATCAGCAGGGTCCTTGCATTATGTTTCTATCTTTCCAAGAGAATAAATTGACATGTGCTAAGGAGTCTAAATTAAAAGATAACCACACAAAACTATGGACTAGTATACTGTCCAGGAGGAGAGGGGACTCCCAAGTCTATTCAAGGCAGGGGTTTCACTAAGGGACCAGCACCAGGCAATGTGACTGGCTGTAAGGATGATTTTGACTGCCTGGTTTGACCACGTAGAGGAAAGTTTTTCTTATAAAGAAATTCTGCTCAAAACGTTTTGCCTCTCTGTGAAAACAGTTGCCCTGCTGCTGAAAACGTTAATGAAACCTCTGTCGAGGTGCATATAAACAGAAACTGGTTAGATACTGTTACTGATGGGCCCTATGGCTGCTCCTTTTTTAAGACTGAAATAAAATTTAACCTCAAAAGATGCACCTAAGAAACAAACCTTCAGACAAAGCCCTGATTTCTTCATCACTTAGCTCTTCATCACCCAGCTCATCATCCTCTGTCTTGTTCATTTTGACAATTCTCTGCACATAAAAATGAAGTAAAAAATATACTTGTTTACTGTCATGTCGACCTGCTAGGATGATCAACATCTACAAGTAATCTCTCATAGCATCACACAGCTGTAAAATTGGTACAAAATTGGTACAAAGTACTTTAATGGAAAGGTTTCTTTTCAAAAAGCTTACATGAGCTTCCAAAAATGTCTCTGACAGTAGCCCTTGTGTAAGCTGTCTGAAGCCAGTTTTCATCATGGGAAGAAACACTCCTGTGGCAGCAACGTGATCGCCTGGCACTGCAAGCCTTGTTGTTTCACCTTTAGCAATAACTGTCATGGACCTTGGTATATTTCCAACAGGTACTTGATCACTGTGTTCCTGAATTTTTAGCTCCTGGAATTTGACGAACTTAGATCCTCTCGTTTGAAGGTACAGACGACCACCAGCCCTGAGAAGAACAAAAGGTACATGTAATAAGGGCATTGTTAGTGCTTTCAGTATCAAAGTCTCTTTCCCGCTCTCAGTATGTTTTGATGGGCCTGATAAAATAAATAAAAATAAATTACAATGTTTAGACTAACAGCCACATCAGCCTCAGCTAGTTTTTATGCAGGTTCCCCATCCTGGTAAAATTGGAATTTGGAGACCTTGGTTTTTGTGGAGGAAGGAAAACAGGAGAACCCAGAGAAAAACCCTCAGAGCAAGGCAAGAACCAACAACGAACTCAACGGCAAATGCCATGTATAGCACCAGGCTTGAATCAAACCCAGGCCACATTGGTGTGAGGGGAATGCTCTCGCCACTGAACGATCCCTGCTTTTTTGAAATACATGTACATTTCAAAACTTACTTGTTCACTTTGCATTCTTCACTTGGGCACATCAGCAATGGCATAAAAGTCTGTGATGAAATCTAAAGGAAAGTGTTTGAACACATTGTTACAAATATAGGTGCAAAATTCAAGGAATTTAAGGTAAATAATACCCTGGTAATGTACGTACTGGTTGATATGATTCTGCGCCACACTGATCACACGTGTATGTCGCTACTTCCACTACTGGCTTCACCTCTGTACATCTTGTAACAATCCCACGCACCACAACAAGTTTACCGATGTTGTTAGCCTTCACTTCACGCACAGCACTGGCCCTTTGACGGCTTAGATGCTTAAAATACACCTCACTGGAAATAATTCAACAACACAAAATCATTACAAAATGTGGACCACGAAACAGGGACTTGCATGTAATGATAACAATATTATAATAATAAAATAGATAATAACGAAATATTGTTAAGCTTTTAATAAAAGGTGTCGTGAGAAGAGTTCTGACTTGTGGCTAAACAGAGCTCTTCTCGGAACACTTTTCACAAAAAGCTTAATGAAATTTTGTTATTGTCTATTTTTTTATTAATATTATTATAATATTTTTATCATTACATGCAAGTCCCGGTTGGTCAAACCAGGCAGTCAAAATCGTCCTCACAGCCAGTCAATTTGCCCAGTGCCCGGCCCTTAATAAAACCCCTGCAATGGCATAAATTCTGGGTTGTCACAAAGCTCTGAAGTTGGCAGTTTTATATTTTTCTTTGCAAGTAGACAGCTGATTTTGACATCTTTTTCTCAGGAATCAAGCAGATAGTCCCAGCTGACTGAGACCACAGCATACAAGGCTGTCATTAAGTTTTGAGTCACCCATTGCCTTGGTCCTCACACCTGTAACAAACTTGTTACTTTGTGGATGAATTGTACTAAGAACAGGCAAGTTCACCGGTAACATCAAGGGCTCATCAAGGATACTCAGCCATAACGGGTGTTACGGGTTACAGCCCTTAATGACAGCCCTGGATAGATGGTGATGTTCACCAGTACCTGGCTACTATGGACAAACCAGTTAATTATTTCTCTATGCCACTGAATGATAAAATTAATGAAACTTACTATCTTCTAAGAAGTTCTGGTGGGTATTTGTTCCTGGGATCTCTTGTTTCTGTATCATTTCTGTTTCGTTGTTCCAGGAGAAGGCGATGTTCAATGTAAACATCTAATGCATC